ATGGCTAAACTCCAGAAGGTAATATGAATGAACAGGACATAATTTTAGACAAAGTTCCAAGTGATTATAGGCTATACAACTAAATCTAAAGTGTTAAGGTGATATAAGATTCCCTATCTTGGCAAGCATATTACAAATTCTGTATATTTTGAATTCCAGTGTGCTTGCCAATATTTTTTCAGCTTGATAAAAAAATTTGGAGCCTTGAATGATTACATAAATTTAATACTCATCTTTTTTTAAAACATGTATTATCATCGAATACCATTACCCTTGCAGTTAAGAGAGTAAGAAGAGATTTCTACCTCCACAGAAATAATGAGCCCAATTTGGTGAAGGAGTGAAGTAAATAAAACACATACCCACTTGGCTATGAAACAGTCATCCATGAGTGAAAATTTTCAGGATCCTTCCATGCAACCTTTTGGCTTTCCTAAATAAGTTTTTAATAAGTCAAGTGATTTCTAGGATGTTGTCAGGCCAAATAGACCACTTGGAAGTAGGTGATTACTTTAACTTTACCATTATATATAGAGATGGTAATAATATGAGCACTAATGAGCAATAATAATTTACAAATACCTAATAATTATTGATCTCAAGTCCCAACAAACATTTAGCAAGTAAGACTATGTGAAACTGACCTGCACAAGAGAAAACCCAACTTTACAGAAGAAAACACAGCTGAGATTCAATTTGATATTTAAGCTCCATCTTGAAAATGTTAAATGGACAATGCTGTTCTCCTTCGGCTGAAATAAAATTTACCTAGATCTAGAAAGATATACTACTGTGTTTTTAGAGATTTTTTTTTCCCTTCAAATTTTGATATTATTATTGGTTTAGAAATAGGAAACAGAATTACTTGGGTTTGTACATTGGCTTCTGCCCACCGGTTGTGTGACATGAGGCAAGTTATCCACATCTCTGTGTTTGCACCTGTAAAATGAGGATGGTCACAGTCCCTGCACTTCATGACACTGTCAGAAACCACAGGAGACGCACAGCACCTGGCACATGGTAAGTGCTCAGTAAACGGTGAGAAAATCAGTCACAGATGTGGCCGTGAAAAAGTACAGCAGCTTCGTATACCCTGCTCTGGGTTTGTAATCAGCACAGCCTCTCTTTCAACATGCGGTGCTTGTTTTTGAAGCTTACCACATGGTTTCAAACACTACTCACATTATCTCTGCTCTTTGAAACATGTGCACACATGTGTCTGTGGATTCTCTCTCATAACTAATTTTTTTTTTTTTTTTTGCCCTTGTGAGAAAGGAATTAAAGTTGAACTCAACCTGAAAAAGCAATTTCTATTCTTGGTTATCATTTAGATCCTGAGCCTGTCTTCAGGAAAAGGGGCTCCTGTGAGCAGAAGTCATCTATGAATATAATGGTCAGAACACTGAAACTTAACTAGGAATTGGAACAGAAATAAAAGCATTTTCTTAATTACTGTGGATCCAAACAATGACTAAGAGAAGGTTCATAACATCTTTCTCCCTTAAACTCTAGGCTTATATCCTTCACCTTTCTTGATATTTCCAACTGGATATTGAAAAATATCTTCCATCTTTCTTGATATTTCAAATTGGGTGTTTGACAGCATCCTCAAATTTAATATATCTAAAATAGAAGTTTGGGGGTGGGGAGAAATGGTGGACTAATGGGTTCAAATTATGCTGTCTACCTGAAGTGATCATTCATTGTGCAGTATATGCAAGTTTTGAAACAACACACTGTACCCCACAAATAAGTAAATGTTAAAATTTAAAAAATAAAGACTCTCCCCCCGCAAAAAGACATACTTGGAACATGAAAAAATAAATAAAATAAAACAGAATTCTGGATTTGAGCTCTCCACCACCCCAACAATCCATTCTCCATATGGCCATTAAAATCCCCCCCAACCACCCAAAAAGTGTAACTTGGATCACTTTTTGTTACCTTGTTTAATACTGTCTAGTGGCTTCCCTAAAGATATATCTCAAGGTCTTACATGATCAGGCCCTTCCCTATCCCTCTGCCCTCATTCCACCCACGCCTGCCACTTCTCAAGCCTTTTGTTCTGGGAACACGCCAGACTTGGTCCCACCCCAGGCCTTTGCACTTGTGTTCCCTCTGCTTAACATGTGCTCACTTCCTCCAGATTTTCTTGCCTGGCTCCTTCTGAACACTCATATCTCAGCTCAAACCCTGCTCTTTCAGAAAGGCTTGCCCATGGCCGGCCCGGTGGTGCACTGCTACAGTGCGCCACTTGGGAGCACGGCGGCACTCCCGCTGAGGGTTCGGATCCCACATACAGACCAGCCGCTCACTGGCTGAGCGAGGTGCGGGTGCAGCGCCGAGGGTTGCGATCCCGTTGCCGGTCCTGGTCCGGTACGGGCGCAACACTGAGGGTTGCGATCCGTTGCCGGACACGAAAAAAAAAAAAAAAAAAAAAAAAAAAAAAAAGAAAGGCTTGCCCAGCCTGCCCCAACTAAAGCAGCCCACTGCCCAGTGCTCATGCCTAACTGTCACATGCCCTGTTTTATTTTCTCCACAGCGCTTAGCATTATCCCAAATTAACTTACTTATTTGCTGGAGTATTGTTAATTTTCTCTACTTCACATGAGAAGGAATACGACTGTCTCGTTCACAACTGTATTCACAGTGCAGAGTTGCTCAGTACAGATTTATGAATGAATGAATGAAGCCAACTATTTTCTTCATTTGAAATAGGTCACTTAATTTTTTTCAATATGTTTCTAATATACCTTTTTTCCCCTTAAAAATATTTTTATATATGGGATCATCTCTGTTCATTAATTTTGCCTGATACCAAACAACCTCTCTGAGTTACAGATTTATATCATTCCCAACCTTGCGTAGGTTTTTTTCTATCTTTTTAAAAAAATTGCTTATTTTTTCACTGAAACTTACTGATTGTACATATTTATGGGGTTCAGAATTATATTTTAATACATGTATACAACGTGTAAGCAAATCAGGGTAGTTAGCAAATTCATCATCACAAAAATCTATGGTTTCTTTGAGATGAGAATATTTGAGCTCCTTTCTTCTTTAAAGATTGCTTCTGTTATATGTGTCCTGGAGTTTCGTTAGCAAATTCATCATCACAAAAATCTATGGTTTCTTTGAGATGAGAATATTTGAGCTCCTCTCTTCTTTAAAGATTGCTTCTGTTATATGTGTCCTGGAGTTTTCTTTAAAAACACTGATTAGAGCTGTGCACTGATTCTTTGTAAACTCTTTTAAACATCTCCAACAGAATGCCATCTTTCCAGAAAGCCCAACTCTGAAACGACCTCGTACTAAGTGCCCAACACACTCTGCCGCATCACTCTTTACTGATATTTTTCATATTAAGACATGTAACTCACTTAAAATGGTAATGGTAATGGTAACTGAGACATGGCATGCTTACTCTTCAAGTGTTATTATTTTTCCCTTGTTTATTGTCAGTCTCACCCCATATGAATTCACGATATACAAGATGGAAGACTTTTGTTCTTATCCACTACTCTATTACTGGAATCTAGAAAAATGTGCTTATACAGAACGGGTTAAACTAATGAAAGAGCTGATATGAAATAAATACAATCATGGAATGAATAATGTGTGTACATGTGTGAATGTATAAGGCTTTGCATTTTGTTTCAAGTAAATTGTTTTTTCCTTCTAGTATTATGAGAATTCAATGACATTAATATGCAAAATCTGTACTTATTAAAGTACTGATGTAGTAACTCATAACCAAGTGGTTAATGGGCTGCAAAGCTGGCTTTAGAAACAAGCTGCTCTGCACATTTAATATGTACTCCACACTTCTACTTTTTACTGTCAGTATTAATCTGGGACATGAAGGGTAAACTGCAGAAACAATTTAATAACTTGACTTTGATGCAGTTACTTCTGGAACTGAAGCCTCTTGGGAACACTAACTATAATTCATACCTGAAGTTTCTTAAATTTTTAATAGAATACTAGTATGATAGCTTAATAGCAGAATTTCAGAGCTGAATCCTACCTGGACTCAAGATTCTTCTACAAACCAAAGAATCATTTTATTTACAAAAAAGTATTTCTCTATATATTGTATAACAGATAAGAAAGGGTGGAGGCATTGGAAATGTTAAGCAAATAGTTTACTTAATGTGAACCAAATTAGAGAAAAATTTCTCACTAAATTACTTTTTAGGATGGCATAAGAAACTATAAAAATAGTGCTGAAAAGTAATACTTAGGAAAGCAGGCTAATTAGACAGTGACTATTAATTGATTTGCAGTCAGTTCAAACCAAAATTTGCAAAGAGCTGTACTTACACAAGACTTCCTTTAGCTGAAGTAAAACGATCACCATCATCTTCATCATCATTTGCAAAATACACACTCATTCTAGGAATACTTCCCTTTGCTTAAAATTGTTTCAAAAACCAGTCTTTGTCCAAAAAGGAAAATATTGGTAATACACCAGTACACCCCTGGTATCTAATGCGATGCACATAATGCTTTCTTGGTCCTGGATAATTCCATATTTACTATCTACCCCTCTCCATATTTAATGGCAAAATAACTCTTATGACTTCACTTTTCATTAAGTGGAAGTCTAAGCATTAACGTAGTCTTTTTTCAAGAGAAAAAAGGACAAATCTATACTGAGAAGTTTATAATTTCATTTTAATATGTCTCATGGTTGAGAAGTTGTAAATTGATAAATATTTATTTTAGATTAATCATAAGATTTATTAAAAACTAAAATTCATATACTGTCATTTACTATCATTTTCAAAATCCTGTGTTCAGAAAATGTTTAAATTGTGTAGAACAGAAATGGAACAAAGGACAAAAATTAAAAAGCTTTCTTTGATAGGTGAGTAGTTGAAATAAAACTTGGTGACACTTATAATCTAATACCGAGAGAGAGAGATAACATTGCTAATGCAATAAGCTCATTTACTTTATAAATGTTCTTAATTGGAGATAATAATTTCATAACTTACCTCGGCATACTTTAACTTCAGTGTTTTATGCATTTCTCGAAAACGACTGTAGCGCCTGAATACAGTCCATGTCTCATCTAGGACAGTAATCTATAAACCAGGAAAACCAAAATGAATCAGTATTAATTAGAAGAAAAAGTGACTAAAAATTTTAAAAATTAACAAACAGTGACTAGGATGTAAAATTTCTCCAGAATTGAAAATATTCATCTAGCTGCATAAATAAGACTTGTAAATAATAATTGCACTGTACTTAAACATGCATCTTTGTCTCCCAAATCTTGTTAGAAGCAGCATGCGCCTATGTAAACTGAGGGGCATAGGGCCACCTCTTAATCATTTATGAAGTGTCCCTTAACCCTCCGCTTGGGTTGTAGAAACCAAATCTCACAGGATGACCTTTCTGTTACATCGATGTGCCCGTAGAAAATGTCAGGTGTAGGTCACCAGATGCCACCACAGTGGACAAGAGGAGAAAAATATGATGAAAGAGGAATCAGAGAAAAAAGAAGGAAGAAGGGTGGGTGGAGGAAGGAGAGAGGAGAGAAAGGAGAAGAAGGAAGGAAAGAAGGAGAAGAAAAAGAGGGGAAAAAAAATCTTACTGCATCTTGTCAGTATAAAAACACAACATATTTTGCTTTTTTCTCAGAGGGAGAATTATCAGTCCGGCCTCCAAGTGGCTGACGGGTAGAAGCCACGACACACCAGCCCACATGTTAACGTCACAGTGGCAAGGAAAGCTGGTAGACCACAGCAGCCTTCACACTCACACCTAAAGAGCAGGCCAACGAGTCTCAAATTTCTTCCTCTACTTCCCACCTTTCTTCTGAGCCCCAGTCCCAGGTACCCAACTTGGAGACATCTTTCTTCAGACATCACACAGGAACCTCCAATTCAACTTGTCTAAAACCATACTCGACATATTCTCTCCAGTCTCAGCTCTGGTGGTCTCCATCCCAGTGCATCCCACCGCCACCTACCAGGCCATGCCAGCCAGAGAGCGGAAGTCATCCCTGACCTCCCTTCTCCTAACACTCTCACGTTCAAACAAACGCTAGGTCTTGCTCCTTTCACCTCCTAGGCATTTCTTGGAGCTCTATCCTTCCATCCTTTGCCATCACTGCCATCTTACTCTAGGCCATTAGGTTTGCAAGAGTCTCTCCAAATTGTCTACACCCATATTCGCCCTTGCCAATACCTTTCCTGCATGACTGACAGGGGTCTTATAAAAAACTCAAATCTGATCATTCCACCTCCCTCCTTAAGGAACCCCAGTAGCTTCAAGCTGCTCCTAGAAAAAGACCTAAATTGTTAACCCAGCACCCACCATCTGCAGCCGCCTTACCCCAGGCCTCTCTCCTCCTGGGTGTCTTCATTCTTCTGCCCTCTGAATGCACATACCCTCCACCTCAGGGCCTTTGCATGGCCACACCCCTGTATGGAAAATCTTAACCTGCACATTAGAGAAATGCCCTTCTCAAGCACAATAATTCAGGCCAATTCTCTAACGTGTAAATCACAGGGGCATCAGTGGGAAAGTAGACGCAATGGTTAGAATGCCTGGGTGGGCAGCTTTGTGAGGAGGAGTGAGTCTTGAGTTCCAGCCAGTCTCTGGTTCTCAAAGTGGTAAATGAGATGATTTGAGGGTATACAAGGATGTACATTTTTATTTTCGTCATTCTGGTTCTGTATTTATCTTCCACAGTAATTTTCTAATTGTGGCAGGTTTCTTCTCATGAGTTTCCTTGAAAAAGATATCTCCATAAAAACAAAGGTGAGTGTATTTGCAGAAAATCATCAAGCAAACAATAGTACAGGTGCTCTGCAGCTGTGGTATGCTGAGGCTGGTATGCCAGTCACTCAAGCGTGGGAAGGACTACTCCTGGTAGCTAAGCCAGTGGGCCTTCCTCTGGCGTGAGTGTATTTGCAGAAAATCATCAAGCAAACAATAGTACAGGTGCTCTGCAGCTGTGGTACGCTGAGGCTGGTATGCCAGTCACTCAAGCGTGGGAAGGACTACTCCTGGTAGCTAAGCCAGTGGGCCTTCCTCTGGCGTCCTCTCCTCACCAGGCCCCACTGAGGCGCCGTGAGTGAGGCCAGCACCACCAGCAGGAACGGGGCTTCCCTGGGTGAGAGCACAGCAATGCACAGTCTTGGCTAGCCACAACCAGGTGGCCACGACCAGGTAACCAAGAGAGAAACAGACAGGAGTGGGCCCTTCTGCCTTCTCATAGGGCGTGATGCTGCCCGCTTGCCAGAAGTGCCCAGGAAGATAACGTAACCACACCCGTGACCTGGGAGTGGAAAGATGCAGGATGTCCCCTAGGGGAGACCATGCTGAACTGGGGCTTTGGATTCCAGTCACCACAAGAAGCCTAGGTCTCTCTCACCCCCAGACTCTAACGCCCCCGACTCCCCTCCCTTCTCCTGAAATCTTTCCAGGGTGCCTCACCTCCTGGACGTGAGCTCAATCATCAGCACAATCCCCCAGATCTGCAGCTCCTCCAGGGACATCCCCCACATCTCTGCTCTAACCGAAAGCTGGCTCTCCCCTGAGCAACTGCTACCCCGGCAGAACTCTCCAACAGGGACTGCTTTGCCCCCACACTTCATCCCACCATGCCATGCTGGGAGGCAGGTGGATATTCCTGATCTTCGTTCCAACTTCCAAACCTCTGCTCTTCTGTCCTTTCTAAAATCCCTCTTTGAAGCTCATGGCTTCAGATTCTGGCATCCTACCCGTCCTTCCTGCAGGCAGCTGTTTACCCCAGTCCCTGCCCCAATTTCCGGAAGGTTGAGGATCTGCTCACTGTCATCTGCTCCAACACTACAGACTTCCTGTGCAATCCTTAACCATACAGATGATCCTTCCAACACCCCAACCTCTCCTGTTCCTTGACCTCTGCCCCAATTCTTCCTCACTCAACTTGAAATCCACAGACCATCATCACAGATCTCCCTTGCGCACAACCTCAAATCTCTTTGTCCCACTCTTGAGATTCCCTGGACTAAGACAGTCACAACCCTTGTCAAATCCAACTGTCTGCTTACTCCCTGCCCGCACCTACCCAGCAGAATGTGGCTGACAGGAACACACCACCAGAGGGCCTGGTTTCATTTTAATGTCACAATCAAGCCAGCCTTTGATGACACCTACATTTCTCCCATTCTCTTAGATAACTGTTTGCTCCTCCTGTCCCCTCAAGCCTTCATCACCTCCTCTTCTGTCCTTACTCTCTGTTGACAACTTAATTCCTATTTTACTGAGAAAACAGAAGCAATCAAAAGAACATTTCCACAAGCATCCTCGACCAGGTCTACTTCTCTGACACCATCTGTCCTGTGCCTTGTCTTTTCTCCTGTCACCAGGCATGAGATATATCAGGTGCTCCTAGCTAAGGCCAACCCCTTTTGCCTTCTGAACCCCTGTTGCCTCTCTTCTCTCTCCTCAACAACGCATCCCCCTTATTACATCATTCCCATGCGCATCTATGCAAGCTATTATTTCTCTTACCATAAATTCTCATTTTGACCTCCCTTTCTCTTCCAACTATCACTCCATTTCTGTCCTTTCCATTAAAACAAAATTCCTATAAAAGTTTATTCTTGATGTTGTTATTTTCTTCCCATTGTCCCTTGAACCCTCTCCAATCTACTCATCATTCCACGCAAACTCCTCTTAACTACACTCTTCCCTAGGTCATCAACGACCTCCAGATTGCCTAATCCACTGGTGCATCCTTGGCCCTGATCTTACCTGATCTATGGGAAGGACGCGGCACAGCTGACGGCACTCTTCTCCCTCTAACATCTTTTTCACTCGGCCTCCAGGCTTCAACACTCTCTTCCCATCTCAGTTTTTGTTGCAGGGGTTTCTCCTCATCTCCCTGACCTCTACACATCAAAGTGCCCCGATATTTAATCCTTTATTTTCTACCCGCACTCACTCGTTTGGTGATCTCATCCCACCTCATAGTTTAAATTTACACGCTGATGACTTTCTGGATT